AGCGGCAACCAGACCCTGGGCAGGATGCCCCGGCAGCCGCTGGAGCTGCAGGGGGTGACCATCCTGCTGGTGCTGCTCATCTGCGGGGTGGGCATCGCGGGCAACGTGATGGTGGTGCTGGTGGTGCTGCGCACCAAGCACATGGTGACCCCCACCAACTGCTACCTGGTGAGCCTGGCGGTGGCCGACCTCATCGTGCTGCTGGCGGCCGGGCTGCCCAACATCTCAGAAGTGGTGGCTTCTTGGGTGTACGGCTACGCCGGCTGCCTCTGCATCACCTATTTGCAGTTCCTGGGCATCAACATCTCCGCCTGGTCCATCACCGCCTTCACGGTGGAGCGTTACATCGCGATCTGCCACGCCATCAAAGCGCAGCTCCTGTGCACCGTCTCCCGCGCCAAGCGCATCATCTCCTCGCTGTGGCTCTTCACCTCCCTCTATTGCCTCATGTGGTTCTTCCTGGTGGACACGACCCAGGTGACCTTCTCCGACGGGGCACAGGTCAGCTGTGGCTACCGGGTCTCCAGAAGCCTTTACATGCCCATTTACTTCTTGGATTTTGCTGTCTTCTACGTCATCCCGCTGGGATTAGCAACTGTCCTCTACGGCCTCATTGCCCGCATCCTCTTCATGAGCCCCCTGCCCGCCACCCCGCAGCACTCCTGCCTGGGCTCCACACACCAGGGTGGCTCCCTCAAGCTCTCCTGCCGGGGCAACAAGGGGGCCCTGAGCTCCCGCAAGCAGGTAGGGTCTCCCCGCAGGGGCCGGGCACGCTGGGCGGCAGGCAGTGCTGTCGGGGGTATTCTGCCAGGGGATGGGGTGCCCAGTACTTTGCTTCCCTTTGTGGGGGGAGTGGAGAGGGTTGGTTTGCTGCACAGAAGCCCCCGCCCCAAGCCCACCTGGGGTCTGACAGCACAGAAGGGCTGCCCCTGCTTTGGCTGAGCTCGGTGGAGTAGGACAGGGCTCCAACATCACTTGGGAGAGGTAGGGGTGCAGGGATGTTTGCTTGATAATTACTAATTGCCTCCTCGAGGAGGGGAGTGCTGGGTCACATCACGGCACACCTGGGCAGGTGACCTCAGATATAGAGAGGCAAAGGAAGGGGAGAGCTGGCATGAACGCCTGCCTTGTGAGCCCAGCCCCCGCTGCAGCCCCCCGACCCCGGCAGCTGGGGAAGGCACCTCAGTGCCATAGTGGTGTGCTTGCCTCTCGGTGACGCCTCTTGTTCAGCTGCCTGCTTGCTCCCCATCTCCTTGTCCTCCCACCTCCTGCCCTCATTCCCCCTCTTTCTTTGTCCACATGGACAATTACTGTCTCTCGCCCCCCATCTCCTTGGACAGGTCAGTATCTGGACGTGGGATGCTCTTGCCTGCTTGCTGGCCATCCCATTCTGGCTTCAAACGTCGCATCGGCAGAGACATGGGCTTTTTTAAAGGAAAAAAATGAATCTGGGACTCTGACTGAAGTCCCTGAAATCACCAGTTCTGTTGTGATTTTAAGTGAACAGGTCCTGATTTCCAGACAGCCTGAAATAGGCTTCAGCCTGTCTTAAAGTCCTTGTTTTTCCAACTCAGTATTTCATTGCGTGACTTGCACAGGAACCTCCATTCTCCAGGAGAGACGACTCAGTCACAGAGGGGAAGCAAACAGCCCAGAGAGAACGTGTATTTCTTCATGAACTTCTAAGTCTTCCCAGTTCAGTTTTTTCTCCCTTTTGCTCCAGCACAGAAAGATTTAAAGCAAGTCCTGACTTCTGCAGAATTACTTGCCCGCTCTCCCAGGGTCCCTGGCTGCTGTGGGAGCCTCAGGCAGGGTGTTTGGCAGCGAGGTCTCTAGGTATGACAAGGCAGTTCCCAAAGGTGCAGGTCAAAGGACCCCTCCTTCCAGAGCCACCGCTGCAGGGGCTGTGCCGCTCCCCCCACGGTGCTGGGCCATGGGGTGGCCATGCCGCACACCCAGTGCTCCTGCATCACCGGGATGAGTGGCTGAGGCCGTTAGTCCTGACGGGGCTGGATGATGGGTGCTCCAACCCATGGAAACATCTTGTACTCTCTTTTCTGTTACACCAGGAGTTTTGTTGGGATTGTCATTACCTCCTGAAATGTCTTACCTTGCAAAGACTTTCCCTGGCTGGCCTGATTTTTTAAACTCTAAATCAGTTTCCCAGGGCTTCCATCTATGTTTTATTGAATATTTCCCTCTGATTCCACACCAGCAGCTCTTCAAAGCAAGCTGTGTTGGGCGTGCTGGGGGAGGGAAGCCCAGCTGTGCTGCGGGTGGCATGTGGGCCGGGGGGCTGACCCACGGGCTGGTGGCTGTCAGGTGGATGCAGTGCTGTGTCCCAGGGGTGGCTGCAGTCCAGGTTTTTCCATAAACATCTTTTAGAAGTTTGATGTGGCATAGGACAAGATTGCTACATTTTATATATAATCAAAGGGACATTTATATGACTGTTCATAAAATCGGGGGGGGTGTGTGGAAACAGGATCTGGGACTTCAACTTTAACCATTTTATTCATTGCTGAGGGGTTGATTTGTTGGGCGCTCAGTGTAGAAAGAAGTTATCTGTGCAGCAAAGCCAAGTAAAACCACACAGCTATTTTGATGAGCCTTTCGGGCAGTGCTTCAAGCGTAACAAGCCCAGGTCCTGTCAGAGCATCTACCTTAGCACTGAAATCCAGACAGAGGTTTTTACTGGTGGTGCAATGGATTGAGGAGCAGAAGCTGCAGTGAGTCATGATTCTGCATCTAGTTATGAGGGAAAAGCCAACAACCCAACCACTCAGAGAGGAAAGAGGCCTCCAGAGACCCCGGGGGGTCAGCACTGGATTCTGCCTTCAATTTATCTTCCTGAGCGGGGGCAGCCGGAATTACATTTTTGGGCAGATGCTGCAGCGTGCAGGACTCCAGAGGGGGGTGTTGGGGGCACAGCAGAGGGAAAGGACAGGCAGAGTGCTGGGGAATAAGCAGATCATTAAGAAAGGGATTTTAACATGAGAAAGAAGGTAGCAGAAACCATGCATGCCAGCCGAGGTGGCAGATGGAGATGTTGGATAGGAGAAGGGGCTTAAATGTGAGCAGAGAGGAGGGCACTCCCGTGGTCAGTGGGGACCCATAGTGGGACATGTGGGCGATGGGGACAGAGGTCCATGTGTCCATGTGAAAGGGCAGGGCAGACTCCGGTGGGTCCATGGGCCACCCCACTCAAAAAACTTGGCTTTAGCAAAGGTGGGGGAGAGGCACAGAAGGAGCCTGAGTCTTCTCTGGGTGAGGTTCCCCTCCAAGGAAATCAACAGCATAAAGCCCCCATGCAATGGCCGGGTACAAGCCCTAAAAAGAAGCAGCCTGGACACTGGTGTCCTATGTTGTCTTCACCAGAAGAAAGGTTTCCTCTCTGACAGCCATGCCATCACTGCCCTCAAAACCAGAGGAAACTTGAGGAAAGAAGAAACACAGATGGGTCTCAACTTGGACCACTGGCCACTGCTTTGCAATAGCTGATGCTGGCTGAGGAGCTCATAAGCAGGTCTCCTTGCTGATTAATTGCCCGTGGGCAGGGTGGAAAGGAAAGGGCAACCTGACAGGTAATGCCATCGACTTCTCATACTCTCCTGAGAAGTGCTGACAGCCCTTGAAAACGTCACCAGGAATTTCCATGGGGACCTTTAGTAAAGGAGACCTCCCCTGGCAGATGACCAAAAGGGGCTACCCCAGAGGTGCCCATTTTTCTCCCGCGGCTCTAAAGAGCCCGGATGGCTGGGGGTGTTTTGTTGCGGACGTGCTCCTACGCAGCCCCAGCGCTGCACTGCTTGCTTTTCAGAGTACGAAGATGCTCCTGTTCCCACACCGGTGCCTCTAAAGCACGAAGTCCAGAGCAGGGCAACGCAAGGAGTGAGTTTTGCTGTATGTATCTGTATTCACCTATAGAAGAACGGGCCACAGATACCACCAGCCCCTGCAAGCGCGTTTTCACCGGCCGGAGAGGGACCACTAGAGGGAGTGGGATTCCTAAAAAAGGGATGCTGCAGCTCAGGATGGCCGTCCTGGACAAGGAGGGGTGGCACTGGCTGGGGAGAAGCGGCTGTGGCCTCAAGGACGGGGCAGAGGCTGGACACAGCGCTGCGAGAGGGGATGGGCTGGGAGGGCTGTGCGGGGATGCAGGATGCTCATCTGGTATGGAGCAAGAAGGATGCTCACAGTGGATTTGCTCAAGGAGTTACACCGGGCTTGGCCCCTGGTAGTGGAAGATGAGCTGGCCCTTATCTTTAGCTTAGGGAGCCAGGTCGTAGTCAGGAGTCTGTACAGCAGATATCCTTGGCCATCCAGCAATGACACCGGCTTACGTGCTCAAAAGTGGTTTTCAGCTAAGTATCAACTGTCCTAGTAAAACTTCCCCTTCTGTCTACAAACCCTTGCCTTGCTTCTATCCATAGCTCCTTTACAGCTGTTGTGTGCACTGACTATGTACAACGGAGTTGTTGCAAAACACTTGTCGGAAAAAGTTGTTGTCCTTGAGCTGGTGCTTTCCTGAGGGATGCTTGAGGCTACAGCAAAGCTCTGGCTTTTTCAAGTGCAGCTGGTTTTCTGGGGCCATAATTCAGGACTGCTCCAGTTAGGGGTAAATGTCCCAAACTCTCCTCAGTGCTGATTAGGTTCATTTTTCACAGGAGCATCTGAAGTAAGTTCAGAGCACCTCAACTGTGCTATAGTTACTCGCCTCAGCAAGGTGGAGCGAGGAAAGGCACGGAGACAGGCTTCAGCCATGCATGCAGACAATGCTGGAGCTTTCTTTCCCCACGATGGAGATATGAGAGTGAGTTTGGGATAGACCATTAGGTTTTATCCAGAGAAGGCATCCTGTGTCAACACAACTTTGCTAAAGTCACACCCAGGAGAACACGGTCTGTACGGACGGTTGGCTTTAAAAGGCAAATTTCAATCTTACAGCAAGCTCAGGGCAGGGCTGCCCGTCCCAGCTTGTGCTCTGGATGCAGTGTCCTCAGGGACTGCTGAAGGCATTTAGTGAGACGGAGGTAACAAATCCTTGTGGTGCCTTTTCTACAGCCGGTTTCCCGTCCCAGGACAAAGACAGCTTTTTCTCAGGGCTGTAGGATGCGTAGTGGGAAGCGCTCTTTGGATGACAGCACTTTGTGGTCTTCTGTGGTCTGGACAGAGGTGTTGGGAGCTTGCTGGGGCAGGAGCTGGGCGAGCACTCGCTGGGACCGCCAGCATTTCCATAACAACCAGCCGAAAAACAGGGGCAGTTATGGCTAAAAAGCAGATGAATCACTGGTGCTTTTCCAGACTACATTTCCTTTGGTCTCAGAAAGGAGTGGAATGAGCTTACTTTCCAGCCTTATTAGGATACACTCCCCTTGGTGTTGTCACTCGGATACAGAGTTCAGATCACTCTTCACAACCATCGTGGGTTCCTGAACAGTAAAACAAGGCACAGGGTTATAACAGTTGAAAAGCCAAAGATGTTTCAGTCTCAAGAGACAGCACATGAGCAGTATTAATGCGTTAGCTTTAAAGGAGACATTTTGGCCATACAGAAACCTCCCGGCCAGAAGGGACACCTGCCAGGGAGCAGAGCTGAGTGTATTAAAGCTCAGGGATTTATTTTGCCCAGCCCTGCGGGTGTTAACTTTGCGTCTCAGGAACTAAGACAACCGTTGAGTGAGGAGTGCCTCTGTCTCAGTGGGGACCTGCAGAGGTGCAGTACTTCACTTTGCCAGGACATACGTTGTGGCGATCCTGCTGTCTAAGACTGCTGAAGCTGGTGGAAAGACTCCTACCGGCTTCACCCCCAGAGACAGCCCTTTAGCAAGGACCTTTCCAGGCAGGACCAGGACGTGCTTAGTCTCTGCATGGGATGGATAAAGCGAAGAACCTGCCCTTATCTCCCAGGAGCATCAGTCTGAATAAACTGCTTGGTAGAGGGGAATTAAATTACTGAATCACAGAATCACAGAATAGTAGGGGTTGGAAGGGACCTCTGTGGGTCATCTAGTCCAACCCCCCTGCTGAAGCAGGGTCACCTACAGCAGGCCGCACAGGACCTTGTCCAGGTGGGTCTTGAATATCTCCAGAGAAGGAGACTCCACAACCTCCCTGGGCAGCCTGTTCCAGTGCTCCGTCACCCTCAGAGGGAAGAAGTTCTTCCTCACGTTCAGACGGAACTTCCTGTGCCTCAGTTTGTGCCCATTGCCCCTTGTCCTGTCACTGGGCACCACTGAAATTCTGACTGAAATGGTACTTAGGATCACTTAAGTGAGGACTTGGTTGCATTTTGCTGTAGGGTTCATCTATTAGCACAGTTTTGGTCAGATCAACTTCATTCAGATTCTTGGGAAATAAACCTCATCTGCATCAAAAATATGGCAAAAGCAATTCTCTCTGCAAACCTGAGAAGCAGGTCTGTGGAAGGCAGCAGGGTGGCTGACCGTCCATCACTGCCATGTCTATTAGCTATAAAGATACTCAGCACAGTAGAGAACACAGGTCCCATATGCACTGCTCATGTGGCATATGGTGTTGAAGCAAAACCTCTCCTTTCTGGGATGATCTGGTATCTGGGAGCTCTCTGCTCCCGGGTCTTGCAGTGCAGACCACAGTCACATGGTCTCAGCACTGCTGTCAGGATGCTCCTTCCCTTGGTAAGGGGTGCTCAAGCCTGGATTGCTCTGCCAGCCTTGGCAGGAGGCAACAGTCGTAAACATGCTGCTACGTCGAGATTTTGACCATGGTCAGCTGTGTGCCAAGAAGCTGCTGTCCACTCCCAGCCTATCTGTTCAGGAGTATTTCTATAAACCACATTATCACCCTAGCAGTGCACACTAGATAAAGTGGCTTGAAACCAAAAGCTTGTGAGATGGCGCTCACTTCTGGATCCAGGCAGCCCTAGTAAAAGGCATTGAAAAGCCCTGAAGCTACCTTTTACTGACACAACCTGTACTATCTCTGCTATCTTTTCCAACAGCCAACAGACTGCAGCAGCAAACATGTTGCAGTCTGAACAACAGCCTCAAGCACTCACCATATCACTGCAAGATCTTCTTCTGGGAAGTGTCCTCACATTCCCATTAAACCACACAGCAAAACACTTCTAATTTGGCCTGAGCTTGACAATAGTCCCTTTCTTG